CTAATCTGAGGAAACATTTTTCTCTGATGTTCCTTCCACAAGTTTTATCATTTTAGGTTCTACATTTAGAGCTATGAAGGCCGGAGAGATGGCTCAGTAGAATAAGCACTTCCCTGGCAAGCACAAGGGGCTGAGTTCAATCCCCGGTTCTGCAAACAAAACAAAACAAAATAAAAAACTGGATCAGCACTGTTTACTGACCCCTGAATCACCTCTGCACCACTACTGATCAGACGTGGATGGAATCATTTCTCCCTCCTTTCTGTCCCACAGATCCATCTGTCCATCTCACAGATGGACAGGTGCCTTGATTTCTGAAGACCTACAGTTAGTTTTGAAAACTCTTTTGGCTAACCAGTTCTTTTCCACATAAACTTAAAATCAGCTTGCTAATTTATACAAAGTAAACTATATTGGAATTTTTCATTGGGACTGTGCAACTCCATAGAATTTGCAATTAGTAGACATCTTAATACTGGGACTTCTAATCCATGAAAACTATACATCTGTGCATTTATTTAGGTCTTAGTGATTTTTCTTCGTTTTGGAATTTTCAGCATACACTTTTTTGTTGGAACTGGGGACTGAACTCGGCCCTTAAGCGCTTATTCTCCTGAGCTATCTCCCAGGCCCTTCAGCATACTTTCTGCACATTCTGTAAATATGCAATTTATATTTCCTGTATTATTGTATTATGTCAATTTTTTCCAATTCCTAGTGATTTCTAATGTAAAGAAGTATTAACATTTTACCTTACAAAGTTGATAAAAGCATCTTTTAGGGGCTAGGAGTATAGCTCCACAGAATTCTTGACAAATATAGTGGCTTTTTTTTTTTTTTTTTTTTTTAGGATTTTCTACAGAAAAGTTAATTTTATGTGAAAACAGGCCTAATACTATAATTTCTTTCCAGTCTGAATGTCCCTTATTTCATTTTCTTGCCTTAGTACACTGGCTAGGACTTCAAGTGATATCCTTGCTTTATTCCAGACTGTAGGAAGAAAGCACTGTTTTAACCATTACATATGATGGTGGGTATCATTTTCCATAGAAGTCGTTTATTGGATTGAATAAATTTCCTTCTAACCCCAATTTCAGAGACTTTTATGTACTCATTTTGGTACTGGGGATGGAACTCAGGGGTCCCCAGCCCTTTATATTTTTTTTCAGACAAGGTCTTGCTAGTTAGGCTGGCCTTGAACTTGCAACCCTCCTGCCTCTTTTTCTCCCAAGTTGCTGAGATTACAGGTATGCACCACCACACCCAGCTGCTGAAAACATCCATCATGATTAGATACTGGATACTGTCAAATCTTCTGTTTATATTCACTGATATCACTCTCTCTTACTAGCTATTAGATGAATTCATTGGCTTAACTTTCTAATGTTAAACCAACCTTACATTTCCGGGATAAACCCTAGCTGCTAAGAACAGTCTTTTAAATATATTTTTGGATTTGATTTGCTAATTCTTTGTAGGAATCTTTGCATGTAGGGATATCAATCTTTAGGAATTTTTTTCTTATAATGCCAGTGATCGCCTTTGTAAGAATCTGCATAGAATAGTTCCTTTTGGGGCCAGGGAGATGGCTCAGTGGAATAAGCACTTCCCTGGCACGTGCAAAGGCCTGAGTTCAATCCCCAGTTCCACAAAAAAAAAAAAAAAAAAAAAAAAAAAAAAAAAAAAAAAAAAAAAAAAAAGAACAGTTCCTTTTAACTTATTTGAATAAAATTATTAATGATTTTGCTTAACCTTTCCATTTGTAGAAGGTCTATAGTGATACAGCTTATCTTACTAAACATTTTGCTCCTAATTTTTTTTCACACAATTCTCTTTAGGGTACTTTTAGGCATAAAATCCATCATCTCAGAGTCCTGGTCCTTAATCTCAACATTTTATTCAGGTTCCTCAAAAATTTAATTCTGTTCCAAATGGTTTCCATCATCTTTACCCACAGCCTTAGCCCTTCAGTTTTCAGACCCTTGTGAAATTGTGGGCATGGTGGTGCACACCTGTAATCCCAGCACTCAGGAGGCTGAGGCAGGAGGATATTGCGAGTGAAACCAGTCTGGGCTACAAAGTGAGCTCAAGGCCAGCCTGAGCTATATGGAGAAATCCTGTCTCAAGAAGACAAAAAAGGGCCAGGGAGGTGGCTCAGTAGAATAAACACTTGCCTGGCAAGCGCAAGGGCCTGAGTTCAACCCCTGGTTCTGAAAAAAGCAAAGAAAGAAAGAGAGAGAGAGAGAGAGAGAGAGAGAGAGAGAGAGAGAGAGAGAGAGACAGAGAGACAGAGACAGAGACAGAGACAGAGACAGAGACAGAAACAAAGAAAGAGAAACAGAGAAAAAAACACTGCTACCCACTGGGTCCCCAAGCAGAGGCCCCTTCATTGAGCCTGGGACTGTTACAGAATCTTCTCATCTGCTGACTCTCCGTCACTCTCCTTCAGGCCAGACACTAAGTTGCTGGCAGAATGATCTTTGCAATACATGCTTCGTAACCCTTGCCAGGCTTGATGCTGACACAAGCGCAGGATGTGTACACACAGGGCTTCCCTGTCAGGTCTCTGAGCATTTAAGAGGAATGGGTGTAAAAAAACTATTAAATAAAATCAACTACATTCTCCTACCTTAAAAATACTTTAGAACGAGGCAATATATTGCAAAGCTATGTTTTACCTAATTGTTTCGCAAACTGTCAAGAGTAACAGTGAATTATTGCCATGCCCAAATTTTCTGATGTTTGGAGCATAATGTTTGTAAAGTATGAAATAAGTGTATAACATAATTTGGTAAAAGATAAAATAATATTCGTCATTCACAAGTGATGAAAACATTAAAGGCAACTATTCGATCTCATTTCATGCTCCTAATTACATTATCAGCTCTTCAAGAACAACGTCCAACAAAACTGTGATACATCTAGCAAACTCCTATTAAATGTGAAGTGCCTTATGGTGCAACACATACACACAAACTTCAAAAGTTATAGATTAAAGAAATAACTATCTTTCTTTTATTCAGAACAGGAGTTGAGCTGTAGGCCCTGGACCAACTCTGGGCCTACCTGTTTTTATAATACTTTTACTGAAACACAGCAACACCCTTTTGCTTTTCTGTTCTGTTTTGGTTTTCTTGAGGTAGGGTCTTGCTAATAGTGCAGGCTGGCCTTCAACTTGCAGCAGCCCTCCTGCCTCAGCCTCCCCAGTGCAGGAATTACAGGCGTGCACCACAATCCATGCTCATTTGCTTTTCTATTGTCAAAGGCAGCTGAATAGTTATAACACAAAGTACACAGAGTACATGACTAGCAAGGCCTTTGGGCCCCTTACAAAACCCTTGCAGACACCCTGAACGTGAGGATTCTTTATATGAATCACAAATGCTGGACAGCATCAAGTGTATCATCAGTAACTACTAAAATGAACTCCATGCCCCCCCCTTTTTATATAAGTTCTATTAATAGATGCCAAAAAATCGCACCATGCTTGTGCCCCTGGAGTAGTGGCTTCAGGGAAGGGTTTTTGTATCTTAGATTTTCCTCATGATACCTGTAATTTAAGATTTATAAACTCACTAATAGTTATAGTGAGTTTGGTCTAATAATGCTTCACACCATCTGCTAGCTTTGTAAAAAAGTAGAGTTTTCCTAAGTACTTCTTGGCTACCCTTAACAAATATGGTATCTCCTCTCAACTTTCAGTGTGCTTTAAGCAACTACCACTGCACTTAATCAGACCTGAACTATACTGCAAGTATTTAATGCTAACTATCCTGCTACTGCCTCAGTACACATGGGAAAAATGTCAAAGGGCTGGGCATTATTTTCATATACTCCAGAGGTTTGTGAAGTGTTCCTAGTTTGACTAGGAAAGTGTTTGGTATTAAATTAAATGTTAAAATGATGATTTTAGGGCTGGCCAAATAGCTCAGCAGATTAAAAGGCCTGCAAGCAGGCACAGAGGCCGGGGGTTCAATCCCTGAGCCTGCCATGCTGGCCCTGGCCCCAGCCCCGCCCTAGGGGCACACTGTGATGGCAATTAAGACTGGGCATAGTGGCACACACCTGTAATCCCAGCTCTTGGGAAGCTGTA